ATTGGTCAGCCTAATATCCAAATTTTAACGTTATACAGCATTTTGGGTACGCCTTGTGGAAGGGCAATTGCAACTCACTTTCCCCCTCTTATAACCATTTAAAACCTGAAAACAGCATTGATGTAGAAGTAGTATAGCCTAACAAAGAAAAATATAAATTATCTCATTTCCAGTATGAATTCATATCGTGAAAGCAGTATAAAACTGCATAACAGAAATATTCATACTCCCAATAACATACTTTTTTAGTCAAATGATTTACCTTTTCTTTTAAACTTTCCAGTGATGATGAACCATGCACAAAGCACTTTGTGTGCTATAACTGTTGTATAAGGTATAATACCAATCCACATACACATCTACTTTCATTAAAGTCTGTCCAGTATTTCTAGAAATAATAAATCAAATCGGAAAATTCTCTCAATTTTGAGTATTAAAGAATGAGAATTGAAGAATTTTGTACCTGACTTTTGTTTTTCTCTAGCTACTCCAGGCATCAATTATTTCTTTACTTGCGTCTCTTATTTAAGGTATCCAAACACGTTCGGAGTACTTTTTAACAAAATAGCATACTAAAACATTATAAATGGTCTTTTTTGACTCAATACCAATAAATATTACTATATTTAACTATCAAAATTTAAAATAAATTACTTGAATTTTACAAAAATTACAGTTATTAGTGAAATTTTAGCAATATTTTTGAAAAACTTCAAAGCAGTTAGAGAAAAAAGTAATAAATTTATATTAGTAAAAGTATTACGAAAACAGATTAGATGCATTTATCTAGAAAATGTACTAAAATTTTAATTTTTTATTAAAATTTGAAAATTTTAGAGCTGATTGAGTAAACATTATAAGAAATATTACATTTTTTATGAGACCATTATTTAAATAACAAGCCATAACTCAAAAGGTATTCATACAATAAGAAATATTTTAGAACATTCTCTATAAAACAACGTAAATATCAGGTTCAAAAAGTTTTATAGAAATACATTCGTAATATTTTGAGTTATCAGACTCGCCATGATAGATTTTGAGCAATTTATAAATGCCTACTTCTGGTAGATCAAAAACCCACTTCCGGTTTTTCTAACTTTATAAAATTGATTGTAACTTGGCCTCTAGGTAGTGTAGAAACAAAATAAAGTATATTTCGTAAAGTCAAAAGATAGCTCTACTCAATAAAATAAAAAACTAAAATATCTGTCTTGACTGAATTTGGTCATTTTCAATGTGTTCCGATACCTTAAAAACAATATTTTGTGAACATGCTTATTTTACTTAGAAATTGAACATATGTTCTAAGAGGGTTATTGAAAAAAAACTCAAACATTTTATTCTGCTCTGCATCAACCTCTTTAAGTATGTCTGAAATGCTAAAACAGATTAATTTAGGAAGGAAACTCATATTTTGTTTCGTATTCTAAAATTCAAAATATTTTAAGAAAGACTTTGGTGTTTTAGTAATTTTAGATCAAAATTAAATCAGGGTGAATAATTTTAACTTGAAATCTGAAATGAAACAATCTTACTTGCATAAACTTCATGGAAATAAAAACTTAGAGATAGCAGATGTTACTAAGTATATTGATGTTACAGAAAAGTATTAAAATTATTGCTTGGATATTCCTAACAAAACTTCAAAGTAGAAATATAGATTTCCAAGAAACTGAAATCCGTTTCATGTCTTATATTAGAAACATTGAAAATATTCTTGTTTGCATATTATGAGACTTTGCAAAGTAATGTTTCTTCTTAATGTCTAGAAACTAAATTCAGTCTCTCAATCTCTCGAAGTTCAGCTACTGAAAAAGTATCCTCTTTGAAGTTTGCTTAGAAATGTTTTATGAGAAGCTAAATCAACCAGGTTTTATGAAGTCGTGAAAACACGAATGATTTCAATTTTCATGACTTCCATGAAATGAACGTTAGTGGGAACTCAGAAAGAAACTGTCTAAAGTATGAGTACATGGGAAGAATGGATAAATTTATCATAAAATTGGTAGGGATCTTTCATATTCTCTTATTTTTCCTTTTAGAGAAAAGGGGATAGTTGCCTATTCTAGTCTGTGGTAAAAGTGGAGTTAACGTAAAAGTGATTTTTGTTTTCAAAAAACTTTGAGAAGACACTTTTATTATGAATGAAACTCAGTATTCTAAAGTGGCTGGTTTCAATGAAAGTTGTTGTCATTGAATTTAATGGTCTGAGAGGGTAAAACTACTACTTCAGAGATTTTGATATAAAAATAAAATTAAAATTGAAATAAAAAAGTAAGTATGAAAAATATTTGAGGAAAAACAGTTCTTAGAGAAAGATATTTAAATCTTACAGTTATTAAAATAAATTCAATTTTTACAACATTATCTTGTGGTAAAAATTGAGCCGTATTAACTCAGATTTAATACTTTCGAAATGAAACAAAGAGATGAAGGAAACCATTCATAAAAAATATAAATTTCTGCAAAAAATATCTCAAAACATCTTCATTAAAATATAATAAAAAAATAAGATGTTTTGCAAAACTTACAGAGAACTTTATTCAGAATATATGAAAACAAGAAAACTTTTTTCTTGTCATTATTAAATAAGCATATTAGATGCTAAATGAAAATATATATTTATACACCAGAGGCTTTATCTTAATAAAGTAGTTCATACGAAACTCAATATGAAGAAAAGAAGCGTTATATAAACACATGATGTAAAATATCATTCAGCATACTAAGAAACTAAACAGCTAATTTTTTGCACTCATATTCCGCGGATTATCCAGTAACATCTTCATGTTATAGGGATGACTATTATCGTGTTGTTCTGCAAATAATTCTCCGAATATTTTCAATAGGAGAGATCTAAAGTCGCTACTAGTAACTGAAAACTGGTACACGTTCACTGCGTAATGGCATTGTTGTTAACTTCGCCATATGAAAACTTATATTATCTTGTTGAAAAAGGTGCCGTTTCTTGCGAAACCACTTCTGCACTGGTGGATTTAAATTCATTAAAAGAACCCGTACATATCCTCCAGCCTTTATTGCATTCATGCAAAAATTCGAATTTAAGGCTTCCTTCACGCCATCAAAAACTTCGCTTTTCAAAACACGTGTTTATAATGGAATGGACCGTGCCTCTTTTTCTTCCTAATAACCTTCCAGCCAACTTGTTCATATGCAATCCAGCTACAGTAGATTTCGCCAATGCAAAAAGGTGACTTTAGTTCAAAGCTGTGAGTTATTGCTTTCATCTCATTTTGTAGAATGCATAGAAGCATAGAATGTATCAATGTGCTGTTGCTTGAGAAATGTACTTTAAAATGTTTGATCGAGTCCAAAAAGACCTTGAAACTTAGCATTTAATTAGATTCTCTATATAATTTAGATTCTCTCAAATTAATATTACTTTAACGTACTTTTAAACTTATCACATTTTTTCTCAGCAAATGGATTACATTTTCATATTAAAGAATTTAGGAAAATTTGATATTTCGAAATTAATTTTAGTATGAAAAAAATTAACTAGCTCCAATTATATATTTTTTTTCTAAATTTTATTTTATTCCATTAAAATAAAGGCAATCAAAAGGGAGGGTTGGCACCCTAAGACCTTGCTTAACCCTGTTATCTTAGCTATAAGCCTGAAAGTGTTCATACGATGGTTATTTTACATTGCCTTGTATTCTCTAGCTACTATCTTACTTATTGTTTTACCTTAAAGATACACTTATAGTATATAATTTAAATATATATATATATATATATATATATAATTAATACATTTAAATATTTTCTTTAATCATTTTGATATTATTTTCTCTCTTCCTCTTAAATTAAAATTTATATTTCATATATTGCATAATTACTTAAGATAATAAATCTATTTAAATAATAACAGTTAATCATTTTTGTTAGTCAAAATCTAAATAAATAAATTTTTACAATAGAAGTTTCAGTGGAGTTACTATAGTAATTGCTTAAGAGAGTTTCGAATAATTTATTTTAATAACTTCGCTAAATATTTGGCAATTATTTAAGTTTACAGCTAATCGAAAAACTTCTAGTTTAAAGACAACTATTATGAAATTCAGGTGTCTGTACTCTTTTTTTCTTTAAAAAATGATTGTAAATTTTCAAATAAGTCGCTTAGTACCATCAATCACTCGATAGTTGTCTGAAGTTTATCTAGACTAGACAAATTTTGCTCAAATTTTATAAAATTTATATTAATCATCAATGAGTACCCTTATAATAAGTATTTCATTAACTATAATGGTTCTTCCCCTCATAATTATGTGCTTAATGCCTAGAATTTTACTGAAATATTTTTCCGATGAAACTTTCCCGTGTTAACTTCTAAAACTGCTAATTTCATATGATGCTTTGTATATTTATTTTTATCTTTTCGCAAAACTATGCAGTGCAAAGTTTTTCTTGTTTAAACATTAAAATTACATAATTTATATCTCCCTAAAACTAGTTTTGTTCGACGAGACTGATAAAGTGAGAAATATATTAATTAAGTGCCTTACTTAACTTATTGCCTCAAACAAGGAATAAATTCTTAATGCACTCATATCTGACAGAAGGAGGAATTCAATAACTGCACACAATAAACTAAGTAAAAACCAATTATTAAACTAATTTAACTCTTTATAGGTTGATATAAAAATTTTCTTTCAATTAAAAATATATATTCATTTGTATATATAAGAACTTGAGTTAATATCGACTTAAAATACGAATCATTTTTCAACTCCTACTATTAAAATCCACACTCTCCCTATATATATACATCTTGTTCAAATTTTTAATCGCTAATAAAATACTTTTTATTCATCCACTCAAGTTCACATAAATTTTTCTTAACTTGTAGTGGCATATATGACACTTGATGTTAATACAGTTTTTTCAAATAAATAGTGACTATTAATGAATAAATAGTAACAAACAAAAATAATAGTCCAACACCATATATAGAAAGGAAAATTGCTCTTTGTGTCCCTGTAGCGCAATGGATCGCGCGTTGGAATTCAAATTCAAAGGTTGTGGGTTCGAATCCCACCTGGGATGGCCTAATTTATGAGATTGTGATTTATTTTAACTATTTTATTTTATTGGCATAGTTAAATTTAATTAATGAATAAATAGAAATAAACAAAGATAATAGTCCAACACCATATATAAAAGGAAAATGGAAAATTGCGAGGAAAATAGCTTTCTATTTTGCCACTTAATATTGTGATTCCGTCATATTTATATACATATTTATATTATAATTGTAATTATTTAATAAAAATAATTAAAATAAAATTTTCTTTGTTGATCTAAGTAGGAGTTGACTTACAAAATTTTTTTACGTTACTTGTTTATTATAATATCTAATTCATAAATCCGAGTATCCTATTTCGAAACGCTTGTGCGTATCAGTTTATATTTTTCTATAATTCATTAAAACATTATTTTAATTGATTTATTAGTGATTCCTTGTTAAAAATATTAGACCTTGAATTTCTGATAGCTTTATTGACGATTCTAAGTAATAGAGTGCCATGATGGCTTTCACGTGTCTTACTAACCAGTTTCAAATATTTTCTAAGCAACGATATCATTTCTATAAATAACTGATTATTCCTATCATTTGAACACGTTATTATATGTTTATATTACGTTTTTCACTGTTTATCCTGAAGTATTTAAACCTGGTATTTCAAAAATTCCATCTTTTGTATTCTGAAAATTGAGCGAAGCGTAACTTCAGAAAACTCTTGTTGCTGAATTTGAGTACATTTATTGGACTTAAAGAACCAGACCTCTCTAAATTGTCACGACTACTACATGGTCACATTTAAGAAAAATGAATATCTTCTAGACATTATATTTAATGTATATAGATAGATCGATTTAGAATATGAGTTTTATATTATTAAATTGATAAATATGTTCCATTTAATTGCTTATTGAGAGAGAGAGAGAGAGAGAGAGATATCTGCTTATCTGTTTAATAACTGAGTTCAATTTACCTAATTTTATTTATTTAGACGAGTTAACGTAAAATCTTCGATCATTCGAGGATTAATGATTTGATCAAACATAAAGCCTTTTAAAAGAAATTTAAATATCTAATCGTATTAGCAAATTCTTCTCTCATCTTTATGATTTTAGTTTAGTTAAATAGAATAAACTTGTTTCCATTTGAAAGGAAATGATGCAAATCTATAACAACAATAATTCTTTAAATACATAGCTAAATTTCCCAATAGTAGTTTCCACTTTCTTGTCACGCAATAAATAAATGAATAAGATTACACACAACATTCCACAGATTTCTGTGATATGAATCTTAGAGAAATATTTCTGAAACAATTGGACAAATACTCTCAAACCATCATGCCAAGACAATACAGTCAGTTCAAAAAGTGTTTCCCAGGCAATTTCTTCATTCAAACTCTACCATTGAGTTGATACCAGACTACCATACCAGATGGTATACCTAGATTCGTCGCTCCAAAACATGTGACGTCATTACTCAAGATTTCTCAGAGTTTTTGAATTTTGCACAACTATAAGCGACGCTTGGCATTCGTTGAGAAAATGTTTGATTTATAAGCAGCAGAGCATGAAAACCAAAATTTTGAAGCTCGAAACGAGCTGTCAATGTGTTGATGTAGCAATCACAGGCTGGTTTGAATTCCCGATAAATTTCTTCGACCGAATACATATGATTGGTTTCACAGCTATCGTCAGTGATCTACGGATCTGTCTACTAGACGACATGGAATATCAGATCAAGTAGACCATGTCTGTTATAACAATTTTATTCCCGCACCTTTCCGCTTCACAAAAACATCATGTATGGTAAAAAGATGCCATTTCTCATTTTTTCGTCGTTTCAATGCGCATAAAAGCTAATCATTTGCATATTCTAGCATCTACCTTTCATGTGAATTTGACGTTTCTATCATCTCACCTTTAAGGCGTTGCTACTTCAAAGGCCAACAGTGTATAATATCAATTCCTACTCAGCTATAACCTTATTTATTGAATTCTCCCAACAGAGAATTTTTTTTTTATTTATCTGTATCAGTTATTATACTGTTATTGTCACAGAAATCAATACAATTCCTTACGTTGTTTATTCAAAAATGTATGAAAAATGCTTTGTACATTAAAATATTAATTTTGTATATGAGAAGCAAGCATTTCATAGAAATAAAATGCTAAAACTATACAATGGAATAATCACTCAAACAAGCAAATTTCTTTAACCTCAAATATTCTCGAATATATAACTCAGTTGATCTATATAAAAGACTTCACAGCACTAAACTTAAATAAAACTTAATGGAAAATATCAATTCACAAAAACCGAATAAACATAAATTCCATTTTAACTTAAAAAGAACCGTATAAAATACAAAACAAAATTTACAGTTCATTGTATTATTCTCTGCTATAAAAAGGAAATAAATATTACTTTTTTTCCCCAGGAAATCCATCCTTAAACCTGTTTTGTTCTTTTTTTTTCAATTTCTTATTTCAACTACATCTGTTTATTTAATTATAACCTGTTTTAATTAGTAATAAATTAAGTTATAAAATTTAAAAAATGTCTGAAAAAAATATATGCTTGTCATATAGTTACAAAGAACAAAAAAATATTGATTCGTTTATGAAAAAAATCAACTTAAAAGAAATCAAATTAAAAGAAATACAAATTGAAATAATTAAGTATTTGTTTAAGCAGTGAAATGAATTCAGATTGAAACATATTTTCTTTTTGAACTAAAACTAATGGTAATAAATATTAAACAGCCTAACAAAACTTAAAGAAGACTAATAAAATGTTTTATAAACTAAATGTCTTACATTTTGAAAATAAAATGTAATTACTTTCTAGATACTTGTTTCCATATTTTTACAGCAATAAATTTTCGTTCTATTTTTAAACTATTTAACATATAATTTGAAAAAGAATATGCAGCAAATTTAAAAAATCTAAACCAAAATTATTTTTAAAAGTCTAAAAAATACAGAGAGATCAACTTGACTAAATACAAAGCTCATCAGGAATGTAGTATACATTTTTTTCTACCTTAATACAATTAACTGAACTAAAATCAGTGGTGCAACAGCCCATGAGGGCTAAGGCCTACTGTGGCATCTTAGTTTACGTGACCTTAGGCGCTAGGGTGCATGGGCAGATGTTTCGGTCAAGTGGTCAGTCTGACTCGAATACCCCCAGTGTTCAGTTCCCAAGCATGCTTGGTACTCATTTATCGAGATCCACTGAAGGAATGAAAGGCTGAGTCGACCTTGCCCAGCCCGGGATTTGAACCCCGGACCTGCGTGGGGGAAGCGCGTTACACTACCACTCAGCCACTGGGCTTAATACAATTAACAAAATATAACATTTTATTTAAAAGTATTTTCTATGGTTAAAAAACAATATTCTAATTGAAATTTGCAATCGATTGATTTTCTTTTCTTTTAAATGAAAAGATCATACATGAAACATAAATAAAAATCTATAATTATTGCAACCAAAAATAAACGAAAATCTTAGCATAAATAAGAAAAAAGTACATTTCTGTACAGAGGCAAAATCATACACACACATTATTTTCTTTCAAGAGTTACCATTATAATTAATCTACATCAAAACGTTGAAATTTTGATGCAAATAAGGATTTTACAGTTAATCATTAATATGATCATCTATGTTTGAGGGATTAGTATGAAATGAAACTCGAAGTTATGGTCAATAAATCCCCTTCCCCCCTCTTCATAACTTGGAGCCATCGTCAAAGTGATGAGAAAAAACCTGAGTTGGTATTCTCTTCTCTCAACTTTCCCCCATGGCAATGTGAAGACTTTGTGAAGTTTCTTCTGAGTTAGATTAAATAACTTGTGTAATAATGAATAAAAATGAAACATACATTTTTCTGTCCCTTAACATTTTTCATTGTATTACCTAAATCCTTATAATTACTCACACCTATCATCATTTTCATATAAATGGTTTACAGTTATTTCCCATGGTTATAGTCAAAATTTTTGAATTTAGAGTGTAAAATGTCTGCCTAAATGTCGTCTTTCACATTTAAATCATGTTTGAAACCTTTCATGCTGGTCACTAGTAGTAAACCTTGTCGTGGCCCGAAGGTCGCGGGCACAAGAGGGTTAAGGGAAAAACAGACTTGATCTAAAAAATAGCTACTTTTATTCTATCTTTAATTCTTCATGAAATATACAACTTTATGACTTTTCTCTGGGAGAAATCTGAAATCCTAATGGTGAAACTGTCGAATCGGCCACTGGTCGGCCAAATTTTGAAAAATCACTAATGTGGCAAGTTTTTGCGGGTTGTGTTTTGGTGTAGCAACCCTACCACACCACGATCCGATGTATCCCTCACTGATACAAAAATCAAAAGGGTTACCAGATTTGGCGCACTTATCGATTTGGCGAGAAAGCCCTTGGCGGGATTAGTGGCCGATTCGACAATTCAACCATCCTAACACTTAATCTGACAAATAAAATTACTGAAAATCACTTAGCTTCAGCCGGAACTACTTGTATGATCCTTCTCGAATCCCGAAAGCTCTGTCAGCTCCATTGATATTTACTTCCACACTCCTGGTGGATTCTATGCCGAATATTAATTTCAGGGACGTGTGACCTCTCAGTTGCAATTCACCTTTTCTTATACTTAGATTCATAATTAACGATCAACGGTTAACCATTAAATTCACATACCCAACGTCAGGGTCTAAATAGTTGTTACATTTTCATAAAATCAAAATATCTCTACGGAAAGCTGTTTTTCAATTAAAATCACAGTTAAAAAATATTTTCCCCAAGGGGATTAGTAGAAGAACCCGAGTAATACCCATTACAGCTTTACTGTTGCCATTATAAAACATGAAACATTTTATTTTATAAAAGAAGGCTCAAAATTTAAAAATAAGAATCAGATTGTATACAAAGAGATATAACATCATACATATAAACCGAAATTTTTATTAATTTTCATTATTGATGTACAATAGCATCTTGCGTGTAAAATTAAA